GATTCGGTGAGAATTGGTTGACAATCAAACTCAAAATTTGGTTGGAGCAAATTGTCGAACACTTTGTGGGCCTGCCTTGAAAGAGTAGATTTTGAAGAATTTGGTTCGATTCTCTAGCTTCCATTTGTGTGTGGGAGTTTGAGAGAAGGAAAGAGGAGGGTTTAGGAAATAATTGGGGAGAAAATCTAATTTTTTAAAGTTAAAACGCCCCAAAAAATAGTCGGACGGCCGTCCCGGTTTTTGTGCTGATTTTCGGACGGCCGTCCGACATCTTCTGTTTCCCCACTGTTCACGGGACGGCCGTCCCATGTTTGTGCCTTATTTTAGGACGGCCGTCCCACAGGCAGTGATGCCGTTTGGAGCTTTCTGTTTCCCGGACGGCCGTCTGGGATTTTGCCTGCGATTTCGGACGGCCGTCTGGACCTCCTGACTATGTTTTCGACCCTGAAAATTAAAATTCAAATAAACTAATTAGAATGCATGCCTATGACGATAAAAACGAAACGAAAAATTAAAGAAAACTACGAAAACATAAAGCTCGGGTTGCCTCCCGAGAAGCGCTAAGTTTAAAGTCTTCAGCCGGACTTTGCTTGTTGAAATTTTTATGTCCAATCCAAAGCCTTGTAGATTGTGCATCCATCCATGAGCTTTTTCACTTCAATTGCAACCGATACAAGGATAGGATTGCAATATGTCAGGGTCCACCTTAGCTTGTAGTCTTTCTTAGTTGTAATCAATCGGTACGAAGCCAAGATGGGATCTTCATCACCCGCTCCCTCAAATCGGTACACAAAAATCTCACGTCCGCGTATAACCTCAACTTCAAACACATTCGTCTTCTCATCAACCTCTATTGATGCCTTCAAAGCCACGTCATGAACAACAATAATATCCTCAATTTGAATATTTGCACTAACCACATCCATCTCCTTCTTCTCTTGTTCCGAGACATCTTTGGAGTTGAGCTCGATTTCATTGTCTGATTCATCATCTTCAAGTGTCTTTGTAATATCTTTTTCCCTCTCATCGACACTATTTTCTAGGTCTAAAGGATTTTTCTCATCACAAGTTTCAGACGGATTTTCTTTGTTGCAACCATTCTCGATATTGTCTGAAATATGTTCAAGAGATCTCTTGAGCTTCATCTCTTCCAACATTATTTCCAATCTTCGGATAGATGCTTGAGTGGATTTCATAAATTCTTCAAGGACGGAGTTCAAATAACACTCCTGAACATTGGGTTCTCGTGGCGTGTTGGTGTATGTATTCCAATAACCGCCGTTGGTGTTATCTATGAAATTATTCGCTTTCAGTGCATACCAACATTGGTTAGTGTAATGATCTCCACCACATATTGAACAAAGTGACGGCATATCATAGGTATTTTGGAGGTATTCGCCAGACGGAAGCCATTCGTATCCCGTTTGAATTGTAACCTGACATGTAACCAAAGAAAAAAAAAATATATTAAAAAAAAAATAATTTGGGTGAATCGTGAAAATTGTTCAAATTTAGAGCTAGAATAAAATAAATAATTAAAATATTCCCCGGCAACGGCGCCAAAAACTTGTTGGCCGAAAACCTACACGCAAGTGCACGTATCGTACAAGTAATATAGTGGGACTAAAAGTCCGGATATCGAACCCACAGGGAATATTTAATTATCTAATCCTAGACGCTAAATTCTACCAATTGTTATCAAGCCCACCCTACACAGTCGAATTTTAGAGAGAATTAACTAAATTAAATTAAAAGCAAATTAAAACGACGAAGCAACAAAGCAAATTAAACACGAAGATTTATCAGAGTAAACGAGCCTAGGATTTTATTCTCCCCCCTATGTGATTATTATTCCCCCAATTCCTTCAATTATGCAATCAATTAACCCGGATTATTAACCTGAGATGCTAAAATAATCATAACCCGCTTTCGCCTGTATTACGATTCTAATACTCTAGATTCAATTACTATATTCCTATGCAATTAATTCTAGAACACAGCATTAAGCACAAATCTCAATAATGGCTACCTAAGAGATTAACTATATTCCTATGTTAATACCACAAAGGCTCTTCTACCACAGTTCTAATTATTAACCCGATCTTCCGATTCATGCGATTAACAATAACATAAAAGCACATAAGTTGATCAAGTTCATGCACTTAATAAAACATGTAGAAGAAATAATCCGGAATTAAAACTTGCATAAAATCATAGAATTGGGTTCATAAATCCCACATAGGGTTCCAAATAAAATCCTAGAAATAAAGACTTAGCTACTCGTAATTCTTATGATAAATAAATTAAAATAAATAAATTAAAATAAATAAATTAAATAAGAAAAACTATGCTTGAATCTTCGTTGATCTTTTTTGCTCTTGAATTTGCGTAAAAAGATTGATCCCCAAATTGTGTGCTTGGCTTGGTCTTATATAGGGTGAAGAACTTGGGGAATAAGGCAGTTTCCTTGTGCAATTAAAATCCCTTTACCGCGCAGCTTCGGAGTCTCGGACGGGGGTCCCACAATTTGCACTAAAACTGGGACGGGGGTCCGAGCTTAAATCTTCAGAATTTTGATATTTTCACTTTTGACCCATATTTTCGCCAAAATTGCAGTTTCGACCCCATACTTTTCCAATTCTTCAATTTGTACCTAAAATACAATAAATCAACTTTTTAAGCACCAATTATCGTTAAAACACACCAAAAGATCAAATAAAAAGATACGATAAAGTGTAAAAATATACACTTAACAGTAGCAACGAATGTGTTTAGTCACAAAGCCCAGTAGCACAGTGTTGCCACGTTTCAATTTTTTGGAACAAACATTTGCAGGCTTATTTTATGGTCCTAATGTGAAACACAGTGGCTAAGTCAGTTACTACGGTACTCAAGAATTTCTTTTGTGGTTTCGAGATGATCATTTCGCTGAAGTAAACCACAAAAAATAAATAAATGGATTCTGAATATCAAGCATAATTATGTCAAATTCCTCATGATACTCAAAACGGGGAGCTGTAATAATCACATGCAAACCTCAAGATTGATGACAAGGATGAACGGAAGCTTTTTTTCCTGCGGCACTCTGCAATTAGAAATGACATTAGAGAGAAAACGCTATAGTATATAGACGCAGTCAAACCAATTAGAAAATATCATCTATGGCTACGTGATAGTGTTCACGAAACCCATCCGTCATTCAACCAAAGATTACGAATTGTTTGTAGCAAAGAACATATTGTAGAGGAATATTGGATAATGATAGGATTTTGTGGTCGCATCAAACGTTGCAAAGTCGTACTAGCATTACCTGAACAAGGTTTTTAGGATGCAATGCAACCTTTGAGACACATTCTTCCACCTTGAACCAGTCAACTGCTATGAGTTTGAGAAGAGGTTCTCCACCTTTGACCTGAAAAGGGATCAAGTAATACAATATTTTGATCAAATTAGATTGCTTACTTAGAGTTTGGAACTCAAGTAATAATGGAACTCTCGACTAGAGTGGAAACCCAGAATTATTGAAATTTATTCAGAAAGTGGATTGAAAAACAAGAATCACTTATTTCTAAAATTTGATGCAGGATAACAGAACTACAGCGTTTAAAAAATTAAAAAATAAAAAATAAAATTGCCTCTAATAAACGTACCTTCATGCTATCTCTCAGGTATGTCTTCCCTCTAATCATGAATCCAGAACCCTCCGGAGACGACCAGCAATTCTTATCAGCTTCATCCATTGCTCTCCTCATGGACCCATTAAACTGACTCAAATCGAGATTTATAGGAGGTATGTTTGTATCTAACTCATTCGAGTCTGGTGCTGTATCAGATGAATAAAAAGAATCTTTTTAGAATAATCTAAAGGATTCTTAACTAACAGAGATAAATATAGCTGCCTTCAAAATGAGAGAACTGGAGAGAAAAGTACCTGAAGTGCGTTTTAGTGTTAAACTTGCTATGGCCCATGATATATTCTTCAGCTTCATCTTCTTTTCCTGACGAATAAAACAAAAGTTAACAAAAAGTCGTGCATAATTTTAGAAGTAAATAACTCAGACAATGAGCGTAAACCTTAGGAACTTCTTTTCCATTCTCACTATCTTGATTCTTCTATTTGATTTGCAAGTATGCTCAACTCCATATCATGTGCTCGAGTGGCCAACTCTTCAAAATTTTTAGGTTGAATTACTTGAAGGATATATCGGAGTCCCCATTGCATTCCTTGGATGCACAGTTCAATAGCTGATGTCTCAGACAGTCGATCCTTGCAATTGAGACTCAAATTTCTCCAACGTTTGATGTAGTCGATGACAGGTTCCGTCTTCCATTGGTGGGAATTGGTGAGCTCAATCATGCTGACTGTTCTTCGAGTGCTGTAAAAGCGGTTGAGAAATTCTTCCTCTAAGTGCTTCCAACTATCGATGGAGTTTGCCCCCAAATCAATGTACCAATCAAACGCGTTGTCTTTGAGCGATCGGACGAATTGCTTAACGAGGTGATCTCCGTACGTCCCGGCATCATTGCAAGTCTCGACGAAGTGTGCCACATGTTGCTTGGGGTTGCCTTTGCCGTCAAATTGTTGAAACTTTGGAGGTATATAGCCCATTGGCATCCTTAGATCATCAATCCTTTGCGTGTATGGCTTGACATAGGTTGATGGAGACTTCGAGCTTCCTTCCAACTTGTCTTTGATGGTTCCACTGATCAGTGTCATCACTTGATCTACATGAATCATCCCTTCTGGAGAAACTTGAAGTTCTTGAGCTGGAGCCTTCTCGTTTTCAACTGGTTGTTGCTTTGTGGATGTCTCGACTTCGTCTTGAACCTCTATCTGATTCTCCATAGCTTGACTAGCATCGGCTTTGTCCATCTTGTTGATCAACCCGGCAATTTGAGAATCTCGTTGTTGAACATGCTTTGTGAGTCCCTCAATGGCCTTTGTCAAACTTGCTATTTGCTCCTCCATGGTTGTAGCGTTTGTTGTCATGACGGATGCCACCTCTGAGTAGCTTGATGTTGAACGAGGAGTGGGCTGTGAAATCTCTCGTTTTGAACCTTCCACGTCTGCGCTTGTGTTGACAAGAGGTGGTAAGCCTTTCTGAATGGTTTGAGGCGTCGAGTTAGTCTCGGAGGATGCTTGCAGCTTCTTAGCCATACTCCTTGTACCTAAGCCCACACTTGATGAATCCGAAGTAGCAATCTTCATTGTGAACGTAAGAGCAGTCACTGCAACACTTCGAGGATCTTCGAGAGAGAGATGAGATGAGAGGTAGAGATGTCCCCACCGGGTGTGCCAAAATTTGTAACAACAAATTCTTATCTGCGATTTAGACAAACAAGAAAAACTTGCACAAAAATAATTTATTGAATTAAAATAAAATATTGCGGGTTACAAACTCTAATTTAATCCTCTGATTCTTCTCTCTAGAACGATATGTGTTTGACTTTGAATTTCGGAGACGGGTCGTTGACTTGGTCTTCTCCGGATTTGATTTGGATTTGAATAACGTCTTCCGAGGGTCTTGCGGCTTGAATCTCGGATCGAAACGCTGAACTTTGACGGGTTTTGACTTGAAGATCTTGAAGTTCTTGATGAATTTGACCCTTCAATCTTTCTTCGATCTTGATTTGTTGAAGAACGCTCTCGATTTGATGAAGAACGCCTTGAATTTGATGAAGAACGACTTGATTGATGAAGAACGACTTGAATATTGTTGAGAGAATTTTCTCCTACGGTTTTTCTTCTTCTTGAGTTGTGTCTTGAATTGTGTAGGGAGGGTCCCTATTTATAGTGGTAGAATAAGAGTCCTACATGAAGTCTTCTTGATGACGTGGCGCGATTTGATTGGCTCTCTTTAAATTAATATTTATCTCTTATAACTTGGAAGAGAAGAAACAATCCTATTGGTCAATAATTAATTGATAATTATCTCCATGACTTATTTTTCAAGATAAATTATAATCTTGGGATTCAATTTAATATAATATAAATTATATTAAATTTACATGTCTACAAATGCCCCCTCGAGACTTGTTCACGGACAATGCGTCTTGGAGTGAATGAGTCTCGATAATTGCTTAACTTCAATTGCAGCTTGATCTAGCAAAGCACATACATCTTTTGAAATCGTGACTGGACTTAGAGAGATTCTATGTTTCCTACGTACCCTATAAAGGGATCAAGTCATAACTTAGTTCAAAATATATCCTTTTGAGGGATGTCGTGCACAGTTTATACTCATGTGGACATGGAGAAACATTTGCAGTTTAAGCTCGTACTGAAGGAGCATTTGACTTGAATTTATAGATAGTTTATGCTCGTATCAAGGAGGCTTGACTTGATTTGGACATATAGATAGTTTATGCTCGTATCGAGGAGCCTTGACTTGATTTGGATATGTAGATAGTTTATGCTCGTATCAAGGAGTCTTGACTTGATTTGGATATGTAGATAGTTTATGCTCGTATCAAGGAGCCTTGATTTGACTTGGATATGTAGATAGTTTATGCTCGTATCAAGGAGCCTTGACTTGATTTGGATATATAGACCTTTTAAACTCGTGTCAAGGAGTGCTTCATATGATATGGACATGTAGACCTTTTAAACTCGTGTCAAGGAGTACTTCATTTAATTTGGACATATAGACCTTTTAAACTCGTGTCAAGGAGTACTTTATTTGATTTTGACTTGTAGACCTTTTAAACTCGTGTCAAGGAGTGCTTGATTTGATTTGAATTTGTAGACTTTTTAAACTCGTGTCAAGGAGTGTTTCATTTGATTTGGACCTGTAGACCTTTTAAACTCGTGTCAAGGAGTGCTTTATTTGATTTGACTTGTCATATTGCATAGGGTGTTGCTTCTTCAAAAGACTTGCCCCCATCCTCAGGATTTTCTTGTTCTTCTTCAAGATGCACTTCTTTGAGCTGGTACGGCTTTTGGAATGGTGATTCTTCTATTTGATTTGCAAGTATGCTCAACTCCATATCATGTGCTCGAGTGGCCAACTCTTCAAAATTTTTAGGTTGAATTACTTGAAGGATATATCGGAGTCCCCATTGCATTCCTTGGATGCACAGTTCAATAGCTGATGTCTCAGACAGTCGATCCTTGCAATTGAGACTCAAATTTCTCCAACGTTTGATGTAGTCGATGACAGGTTCCGTCTTCCATTGGTGGGAATTGGTGAGCTCAATCATGCTGACTGTTCTTCGAGTGCTGTAAAAGCGGTTGAGAAATTCTTCCTCTAAGTGCTTCCAACTGTCGATGGAGTTTGCCCCCAAATCAATGTACCAATCAAACGCGTTGTCTTTGAGCGATCGGACGAATTGCTTAACGAGGTGATCTCCGTACGTCCCGGCATCATTGCAAGTCTCGACGAAGTGTGCCACATGTTGCTTGGGGTTGCCTTTGCCGTCAAATTGTTGAAACTTTGGAGGTATATAGCCCATTGGCATCCTTAGATCATCAATCCTTTGCGTGTATGGCTTGACATAGGTTGATGGAGACTTCGAGCTTCCTTCCAACTTGTCTTTGATGGTTCCACTGATCAGTGTCATCACTTGATCTACATGAATCATCCCTTCTGGAGAAACTTGAAGTTCTTGAGCTGGAGCCTTCTCGTTTTCAACTGGTTGTTGCTTTGTGGATGTCTCGACTTCGTCTTGAACCTCTATCTGATTCTCCATAGCTTGACTAGCATCGGCTTTGTCCATCTTGTTGATCAACCCGGCAATTTGAGAATCTCGTTGTTGAACATGCTTTGTGAGTCCCTCAATGGCCTTTGTCAAACTTGCAATTTGCTCCTCCATGGTTGTAGCGTTTGTTGTCATGACGGATGCCACCTCTGAGTAGCTTGATGTTGAACGAGGCGTGGGCTGTGAAATCTCTCGTTTTGAACCTTCCACGTCTGCGCTTGTGTTGACAAGAGGTGGTAAGCCTTTCTGAATGGTTTGAGGCGTCGAGTTAGTCTCGGAGGATGCTTGCAGCTTCTTAGCCATACTCCTTGTACCTAAGCCCACACTTGATGAATCCGAAGTAGCAATCTTCATTGTGAACGTAAGAGCAGTCACTGCAACACTTCGAGGATCTTCGAGAGAGAGATGAGATGAGAGGTAGAGATGTCCCCACCGGGTGTGCCAAATTTTGTAACAACAAATTCTTATCTGCGATTTAGACAAACAAGAAAAAGTTGCACAAAAATAATTTATTGAATTAAAATAAAATATTGCGGGTTACAAACTCTAATTTAATCCTCTGATTCTTCTCTCTAGAACGATATGTGTTTGACTTTGAATTTCGGAGACGGGTCGTTGACTTGGTCTTCTCCGGATTTGATTTGGATTTGAATAACGTCTTCCGAGGGTCTTGCGGCTTGAATCTCGGATCGAAACGCTGAACTTTGACGGGTTTTGACTTGAAGATCTTGAAGTTCTTGATGAATTTGACCCTTCAATCTTTCTTCGATCTTGATTTGTTGAAGAACGCCCTCGATTTGATGAAGAACGCCTTGAATTTGATGAAGAACGACTTGATTGATGAAGAACGACTTGAATATTGTTGAGAGAATTTTCTCCTACGGTTTTTCTTCTTCTTGAGTTGTGTCTTGAATTGTGTAGGGATGGTCCGTATTTATAGTGGTAGAATAAGAGTCCTACATGAAGTCTTCTTGATGACGTGGCGCGATTTGATTGGCTCTCTTTAAATTAATATTTATCTCTTATAACTTGGAAGAGAAGAAACAATCCTATTGGTCAATAATTAATTGATAATAATTTCCATGACTTATTTTTCAAGATAAATTATAATCTTGGGATTCAATTTAATATAATATAAATTATATTAAATTTACATGTCTACACAAACATTAACTCAAAATGAAAAGGCATGAAAAACTTAGTAAGAGATTAATTATTAAACGCAGGATATTGTGGTGGGAGTAAATTTAGTATTTAACAGGAAGCCATATTGTGGCCCATATCATTCCCACCTTCAGAAATCTTAATGCCCGAGAAATTATAAGTGTATACTTCTTAGATTTAATCACTGAAATAAAGCAAACCTTCTCCACCTAAAACTGGAACATGTAAAAGTTGTACTGTAGTT